ATCAGAATTACGAACCAATAATGAAAAGAGAAAGGTCCAAGAACACTTCATCAGAAAGAAAAGATATAACAGTAAATGAAAGTGAAATTTTTTAAAGCAAACCAGCATCGAAAGGCACTCCTGTTGCAGGCAACCAGGAATCTCCTTGAATGAAAATTGACACGGTGAAATTAACAGCATCAGTTGCATCTACAACATGGTATCCAGGCCATGTAACCCTGTTAGAGGTATCTGATCCAGGCCCTCTGTTGTCAAATTCAGCATAATCAATACAGGGTGGTGAGATAATCATCTCCAGACCATTCATGCCACCCTGAAGGGTCAATCAGGCTATCCATGAAAGACTGCATGAAAACAGTTCTGGAGTACTCCTTCCACGGCCGCCCAAGGTATGTCTTTGTCTTCCTCAGCTCTTCGGCAGCCCTGATGGTGCAGTTCTGTATGGATGTTCCTGTATTCTGGTTCAAATCAGTTCTTCCTTGGGCGGTGATGGCGTTGAATTGTCCATATAATGGGAGCCGAGGGTAGATGTTGCAGTCCTGCAAAACCACTGCTGCATTGCCAAATATGAAGTCGACTGTGCCGTAAATGTCACATTCTCTGTAGAATTGTCGCAGGGCCAGGGAGTGAGTATACAGGGTGTCTTGGTATCCTTCAAAACTGCAGTTGTAGAAGGCGGACAAGTCAGCCCCACTCCGAAGGGCCACCGCCTGACCACTATTTGCTCCGGCTGTGTTCCGGAATGTGATGTTCACAGCCACAAAGCCTGATGCAACAACAGCCACAAAGCCTGATGCAACAACAGCTGAAGGAGACATATTTTAGTTCTAATGGAATGTCCAACTAAAGGAAATCATAGAAAATATAGTTTAAAGTGAAAATCAAGAGATCATGGCATGAAGAAAAAATATATAAGAAGGTCCGGATGAGACTTAAGTGAAACCTGAGATGTGCCCTCCTGACATTTTTAATGTCAAAGCATCTTGATTTTTCACAATAATTTATAGCTTACCAAATGTTGCAGAATCGAAGGTAGTATAATTATCAGCGGCACTGCGGTTGAATGGTTGTTGAATGGTATGGAAACATACTCTTCATAAACCCCTTTAACCACAGTAATCACAAAGTACGGGTTGCTCCCGGCTGTGGAGTTCGGCGCTGCTGCTACCGCATCATTGATGGTAGTTAAATTCCCACTTCCGTCTGGATTCACCACCACCACCTCACTCACACTTACATCGTTCCCAACAAACCCATCATCCGGAACCTGCTTTTCTCTGCTTATGAATTCATACAATTGCTGGTCTCGGATCAGAATCCTCTCCCTCAGCCACCTGCCTTCCATTTTGCCATCATCATCATCTATCTATCCAAGCTTGAAAAGGGCAAGAAACACCGAGGTATTTGGTTCCATCGGAGATGTGAGGCATGAGATCATTTTTTTTTTCTTTATCTGATGGGGTGGCCTCCTCGAGACCATCAGAACATGTTTATTGATTTGTCATACCGGAACTTATCCAAGTCAGGTAATCATCAGCTTGCATCCTGTCTAGACTATCGTCATAATTGATAGTTTGCAAGGTGTTTGATAAAATGTCTATGTTAGATGAGTCTAGAAACTAGCCATCCTTGAGGGCTTGGATTGCAGTGAGGGAGGAGGTTGAGGGGAGTGTCATGTGGTATTCAACTAGTGAGAGAAGATTTTGAGCACTTGACAAAGACTGGTTGAGTGAAATCCAGGTATAGTATTGCATGGTGCCATTCCGATCGTGAGGCAGAATGGATTTGCAGGAGGATGGATATGGGGTTGAGTTACAAATGACGTCTGAGAAGGTAGAAGGCATGGAGGGTAATGTAACGAAGCTAGGAAAAGATGGAGATGCAAAAAGCACTAGTAGGAGTGAAATGGTGCAAAATAGAGTGGATTGCTTGGAGGCTGCCATTACAGAACTTATTGAGAAAATTTCGCTGTAGGACGGTTAGTCCCCCATATACGCTTTTATATACCATATCCAAGTATTAATCCTACACATTTCACTCATGTCTGTAATCAATAAATAACAAAAGAGAGTTTAGTGGTACTAAGATACCCAGTTGGAATCTTTATCTCGTAAATATTTTAATGTAGAAGAAAGTATTATTATTCAAAAACAAATTTCGAACTGGGATTTATGTCCAAACCCATTCTTACGAGAATTGTCAGATTAGCATTTGTCATTTAGCATTGTTAATCATTGTTTATAAGCTGCCTCTGTCGCTTGCATGAAGTTTTTTATTTAGAAAGACCAAAACGTGCTTGGTAATCTAGAAAAGTTCATTTAATCCAGTTTTTGAAAACATTTTGTGATTGAATGACCGCGTTATTAGACATAATTCGATGATAGATGTTATTAGTTTATGTTTGTCGACCGAATTGCGTTGAATCGAGGATTGATTCCTTTCATAACTTAATTGTTTATTGATGAGCAGAACTTGTGTTAATACATTAATAATTTAAACAATCTATTAATTTAAGTAAAAAAAACTCAAATTCCCTTAAATAAGGTTTAAAATTCGAGTTTTGTAAATTAAAAATAAGTACTAAAAGAGTTTATCTCTTATATGGTTTGACACAATTCGATTTTAAATTAATTAAGATTCAATATAACTTTGAGATATTGAGAGGTTAGTACAAAAATATATATATACATACTGTTTACACCATAAATTGTATTTTTTTAATAATGTCACGTGTCAAGGAGATAAGATGAGATTAAATCTACTGAAGGGATATATATATCTGTAATGTTGGTTGGGAGTATAAAATTTATCCAGTTTGTTGCAGTTTGAATTTAAAAGGAACAGTAACCCCTAGAATTTGGGAGGAGGTTATTTCTGATAGGTTATCTGTGATCTTGTCAACCAAGAGACAGTTCATAAGAAGCATATAAATAGAAACTTTTTGGATTTTTTTCAAGAGATAGCCAACCCTACACAAAAACTCATCAATTTTTCAATTCTTTAGTTTCATAGTGATTGCTCATCTTAGCTTTTATATTTCAATTTTAGCATAGATCCGAATAGATTTAAGTTGTTTTCAGCATTTAAGTGTCCAAATTAATTTGTGTAATTGCTTCTCTAATTTCCTTTCATACAATAAACATCAAGTTTATTTTAATTTGCATCTTATTCAGTTCATTTTGGATTTATTAACTTAAATTCACGGTAGTTGTAAAGTCCTTGAGATTGTCCAAGGCAGATTAGCAACCCATTCTACAGGAAGGCATCCCTCTCTCTTACAAATCGTTTGAAGGGCGAAAAACTCAATGTTAAATAACGTTCTTTCAGCCATCCTAATGGAAGTCGACCGTGTGGAAAGAGAGAGTCGTTGGGAAAGAGAGAGTCGTTGGGAAAGAGAGAGTCGTTGGGAAAATCCTTTTTTCTTACTTTTCGGGAAAATCCTTTTTTCTTGCTTTTCGGGAAAATCCTTTTTTCTTGCTTTTCAGAAAAGTAAGTGGCACACCTGCATCTAGATTCTGCACGTATGAAACCACTTGAGGATTTTTGAGGAACCACATACAGAATTTAAATTTCTACTCATAATTAACTTATTTAAGGGCTATGGATTGAAAATTTCGCTAGTTCCTATCATGACACATTAAATTACACTGAAGAATGGAAGACACAAGATAAATAACAAAGAGATATCATGGGAAATCTATTAAGAAATTGTAGTTAAGTCCTAACTGATGCCATGTATACAGAAGAGTACACATTTACAACCCCATATTCTGCAGGAGGGGGTGAGCAAAATTTTAGAGCTATCCTTCATCAGACATGTCTTAACTTCAATACTAGAAAATCTTTTCTCATATAACTCATTGTAAAATATACTAAAAGTATTACTCCTTCATGTCTAATTTAGTTGTTTTAGTTTGATTTTTATATAAAATTTGACTAGATAATTTTATATAATATATAAATAAATGATAATTAAAAATTTGTTTCATTCTCTACATGGTTATTCTTGGTTATTTTCACTTAATTAAAAAATTCAATTATCATTTATTTATTATATAAATTTGTCAAATTAATTTAAATAAAAATGAGAAACTAAGACAACTAGTGAAATGGTGCAAATAAAGATGTAAACTTTGTATTATTTTTTTTTTCTATTTAAAGATGTAAACTTTATTAATTTTTAAATAAGGATATCAACTTTTAACTTTTTCTATTTAAAGATGTTAACTTTTAATTTTTTCTATCTAAGGATGTTAACTTTTAATTTTTTCTATCTAAGGATGTCAATTTTCAACATTTCAATTAAAAAATTTATTTGTTATGTTAGCATTATCATCCAATTAATCTTTAAATAGAAAAAATTAAAAGTTGGTATCTTTAAATAGAAAAAATTGAAAGTTGATATCTTTAAATAGAAAAAATTGAAAATTAATATCCTTAAATAAAAAAAATTGAAAATTGACATCCTTATGTAAAATCCGACAAAGTTAACATCCTTAAATAAAAAAAAAACATCTAAAGTTGTCATTCTTATTTATTCCTTTCCTCGAGACAACTAAAAAAACCAAAGGGAGTAGTAACTATTGTCAAATTCTAAAGGCGAAGATTCATAATTTCTTAGTCTTGTGTGATTTTGCAAAAATTAAAAGTCCACAGGAGAGTAAAAACCTCTGCTGTTGTTCCTTTAAAAAATGAAAAATGAAAAATGAAAAATGAAAAATGAAAAAAAAAAAAAACCCCTAGCCACATGGATGGCTTTGTCCATCCCGCGGTGGGGTTCCCTATTGGTTCTTGTTCATCCCTTCATACGTGCTACTTCATCTCTCCATTTGTGAGAGTTTGTACCACCCTTTGGTGTGGTTTAGTCCCCCTGTTAGTGAGGGTTTATGCTGCCTTATGGTGCAGCTTTATACCTCTGTAAGTGGGGTTAAGTGTCACCCTTAGTGTGATGTTATCCATCTAAAGGTGGGGGTTTATTTTGATTTGTGATGTGGTGGATAGAGTATTGTTGTGATATTTGGTTTTTTTTAGCATGATAGTATACTTTTATCTCAAATCTTTTGAGATTGGGTGTTAACAGACTCTTTAATGTCCTCGATTTTAGACAAACATCAAAGATAAGTCATGAGTATGTTTGCAAGAGATGCTTGGGATGCAATAAGTTTAGGCTAAGGTTTATTATCTTGCTGCAAGCTGCTATGGTGTCAAGTACGTCATGACAACGTAACTAATACTCTAAAGGTAAGTGGATACATTTTCATATATATATATATATATATTTGTTTAATTATCTCTTTTTAGTTATTTTATTTTTTGAACTATTTTGTATTTTAAAAAATTTATTTGTGGTCACTTATAAGAATTATAAATTGTTAGATTACCTTTAAAATAAAATTATATTATACTTATTTTATTTCTTTACTATAATATAAGACCTATGATCGCATCCGGTCTTTCAAGTCGAGTGACCTCCAACCACCTTGAAGTGCATCCCCTCTCCTTTGGACAGATTCGAGCTCGCCCTATGACAACATTGTTCAAAATATATATATATATATATATATATAAAAGACCTATGATCATTCTACCAAAAAAAAAATTTTCTAAAAGCGAAAAAGGATATATAATTGTGCTCACTTTGCTTTCATATGAAGAAACATAATTATTCTTTCTTTACAAGTCATTGTACAACAAAAAGAAAAAAATAAAAGAGTATGAAAATACGTAATTAATCCTTACAAAGCCCCTTGTAAAGTTCAATCAAATATCCAACTGACTAGCTACTTCTAATGCTAGTCAATCATACACACATATAGGCCAATAAAAAAGAAAAAAATCACACATATTAATGAAACTGCCATACTTTGATGTTTGATCCTTCGATGGGTTGGGGTTGGAAGAGAAATGCACAATTGAATGAAACATCTGCAATCTAAATTCTAATTAATTGCCTAAACCTGCAGTGAACTTGATACCGGTTGACGGCAGCCATGACCGGCCGTTAATGAACCGTCCCACCGTGAAGAACTTCGCCGTGGCAGCGTCCTTAATAATGTGGTAACCGGGCCATCTGACCCGTCCGGCTAATGATGCGCCAGGGCCATAGTTTTTGTACTCACCATACCACAATGTGCCCAATGCAAAGTTACCGTACCACTCAAGCCAACCTCTAGGCTGCACCAGGCCACTCATGTAAGTATTCATGAAAACTGTCCTAGAATATTGCTTCCAGGGCCTGCCTAGATAGGTTGGTTGAGTGGCGAGAACATAGCTGTCCTGAATCGAAAACCCGGTGCTCTGGTGCGGGTTTTTCCTCCCCTGAGCCGTGATTGTGACCTTCTGTAACGGTAATGGGACTCTTGTGAATATTTTGCATTTCTGAAGGACAGCTGCACCGTTGCCAAAGATGAAGTCTATGGTTCCGTAGATGTTGCATTCACGGTAAAATTGGCGGAGGGAGTGAGCATACAGAGTGTCCTGGTGGCCTTCCATGCTGCACCGGTAAAAGGCTGATTGGTCGGAATCAACACGTAGTGCCACCGCCTGGTGTTTTTGGGGTCCGGCTGTGTTACGGAATGTCATGTCTCTTGCTATGAATCCCTTCCCAGAAACAGCTACATAAATAAAGCCACAAGGAATGATGTCAAAGTGTAGACCATATAAACAGTGAAAGTAGGCATATATAAATGTATTTTTCAGTCTGAACTGATAAAATAAAATTCTAGTTTGTACCAAGGATGAAAAAAATATCCACAAGACTCTGAGTTTGTCAATCAAGATATTTTGTGCATTCTTAATCATTTACAGTTTAGACTAACATTTTATTTTATAACTAAATTCAAAAAAGACATTTCTCTGTATATGTGCACTAGAGTTTATATTTTTTGTACATAATCCCGAGAACTTAATGTATGCAATAACTTACCAACAGTTGCAGTTCGGAA